AATCTAATTCCACAGCTCGATTTGATACTCTTCCCAATGACAAATGCTTCATTGGAATAACATTATTCAGTGCCTTCATTGGAGTACTATTTTATTTTACATTATGTTTCACAAATTAATGTAGCAATAATAGTATCAAGATTTGACAGTGATGTATTACACTTGCTGCAGTTTTATGGGTTTTCACTAATTTAAGTGACAATAACAGAAGAAAGTGGGAGTTTTGTTATCATAAAGCTTCTTCTGCAATGGAAAATTTACAGATTACTACTACACCTAAACACTTACTTCCACACCACAATATGCCCATCTCAAATTTCAACATTCAAGGCAGCATGGACAAAAGAAACAATCAAACAGATGAAAAATAATATTTTCCTTTTTTCAAAGCTCTCTACAATTTCAGATTCTATCAAGAAGAACAACATCCACCTTTCTTGGACTCTCCTTGCCCTTCTGATGGAAACACAACTTTCTTGCCATTGCTGAGTGAAGCAGGATCTTGCTTGTTTAGCTCCTGTGAGCTCATCACTTTCCTGCTCAGTATGTTGTATATCTCCTTCACAACCGTCTCAAATGCTGCTGCAACGTTTGACGAGTCCAGAGCTGATGTCTCCATAAAGAAAAGACCTTGCGCTTCAGCCAACGCCTTCCCTTCCGCTGTTGACACTTCTCTTATGTCCTTCAAATCCGACTTGTTGCCCACCAGGATCGTCACCACGTTCATATCAGAGTGTGCTGCAACAGGTTCATAATAGCCATTGAGACATTGTTTAAAACAAGATTAAAAAACAAAGGTGTAGTTTTTATGTGTGTGATGTTTCTTACTATGCAGCTCGTTGAGCCATCTACCAATGCTGTGAAAAGTCTGTCGTCTGCTGATGTCATAAACCAGAAGAGCTCCAACTGCACCTCTGTAATACGCGGAAGTAACTGCTCTGAAACGTTCTTGACCTGCCGTGTCCCATATCTGTGCTTTGATCTCCTTTCCGTTTATATCTATCTTCTGCGTCTGAAACTCCACTCCAATCGTCGACTTTGAATTGGGATAGAACTCATCCCTAGCAAATCTTGCTAACAAATTTGATTTCCCAACTGCAGAATCACCGATTAGAACAATCTTAAAGAGGTAGTCTTCGCTCTTGTCGTCCTCAGAATAAAAAGCCATCTCTTTGTTACGCTAAAAGTACCCCTTCTACAGAATCATATCTTTACCCCTGGCTTTTAGCTTTCTACAAAGCTAAGAACAGAACAAAGTGACAAAGTAAGCAAGAGGCAAGACAAAGAATAAGTAGAGTTGGCATAGGAAACTTCAGAAACAGTAAAGATTGAGATCTAAGAGTTAACAATAAGAGAATCTTTAAAGATCACCTGTCTAATGAGGAAGCTTCCTATAAGTTTCTGTGGAACAAAGTTGACTAAATTTCCAAAACTTTCACCTCGCAACCACCCTAAAAAAATGCTATCACAAGCAAAGGATTTCAGCATATAAACGTACTCTGGATCTAAAGTAAGGCACTGAAACAAGTTACCTCTTCCAAAAGCTGGATCCAGCTCTTTACCAAATATTGTTGTACAAGCTTCACTTGGGTGTGTACACCTATATACAATACAAGTAAAGGAAGCTTTAGTTGTGTGAGCTCACCCTGAGGATCTTATAAGTTAAAGTCGGTGGATACTAACTATTCCCATAACATGAAAGCCTCCAATAAAAAAGCAGAGAAGTATTCTCTCGATCATAAGGGAAGAAACAGAAAAGACAAGATTTGGGCCCAATGCAACCAACACTGCTCATCAATGGATCCACACAAAGTGCAACTAGACACTGATAGAAATTCTCAATCTTGTCTTTAGGGCTCACACAACTAAAAGATGAATGAGTAAATGATTGTTGCAGGTATAATCATTTCTCAATACGAAATTCTTCAAAAGAAAAATGAAGGTAGGCCACATTTATCATAAAACACCAATCCACACACAAAAATCGAAAATTCACATAAGAAAACTAAACCCAAGTAAGAACCCATTTCTGTGAACCAAACATAGCGTGTAATAGAAATCGAAATTCCAATGTTACAGGAGGTATCAAAACACATTCCAAATTCGAAATGTAAGACCCACACACACACAATTTAGACGCTGATCATCGCAAATTCGTTTTTCTCACAGACCCATTTTACATGTACAAGGATAAACATAAAATGGAAAACCTTCTTTCTCGGGAAACGAAATTACCTTGTTTAAAGAAGCAACGGTTTCAGAAATTGGGGTGAATTACGAAATGGATCGAAAGAAGACACACGAAAAAGGATCCCTAAACGAAATTCGATCTCCGGGGAAGAAAAGGAAGGGATTTCAACGCTTCTTCTTCTGGGGAAATCAAAGAGACTTATTGTAAGCCAGTAACTCTGC